CATCCATGTTCATCAGGGATATTGGTTTATAATTCTGATATTTAGTAGGCTCTTACTGGTTTAGAATCAAGGTGATGCTGGCCTCAAAGAATGAGCTTGGGAGATTTCCTTGCATTTATATTTTTTGTAACAGCTTGAGAAGAGTAGGTATGAATTCTTCTCTGAATGTTCCCAGGGTAGAATTCCCCTGGGAAGCCATCTGGCCCTGCACTCTTGTTTTTTGGGAGATTTTTTTTTTAAAGGATTTTATTTATTAGAGAGATTGAGCCCAATATGGGGCTCAATCCCAGGACTGAGATCATGACCTGAGCCGAAGTCAGGCGCTTAACTGACTGCCACTCAGATGCCCCTGCTGGGAGATTTTTGATTACTGATTCAATTTCTTTGCTGGTTATGGGTTTGTTAAATTTTCTATTTCTTCCTGTTCCAGTTTTGCTAGTTTATATGTTTCTAGGAATGCTTCCATTTCCTCCAGATTGCCTAATTTATTGGCATATAATTGCTCATGATATTCTCTTATAATTGTTTGTATTTCTACAGTGTTGGTTGTGATCTCTCCTCTTTCGTGGTGATTTTATTTATTTGGATCCTTTCTCTTCTCTTTTTGATAAGTCTGGTTAGGGGCTTATCAATTTTATTAATTCATTCAAAGAACCAGCTCCTAGTTTCATTGGTCTGTTCTATTTTTTTAATTTCTATATCATTTATTTTTGCTCTAATCTTACTTATTTCCCTTCTTCTACTGGTTTAGGCTTTATTTGCTCCTCTTTTCCAGCTCCTTTAGGTGTAGGTTAGGTTGTGTGTTTGATACTTTTCTTGCTTCTTGAAGAAGGCCTGTATTGCTATATACTTCCCTCTTAGGACTGCCTTTACTGGTTCCAAAGGTTTTGGACTATTGTGTTTTCATTTTCATTTGCTTCCATGTAGTTTTTTATTTCTTCTTTAATTTCCTGGTTAACCCACTCAGTGTTTGGTCCTTGGCCAGAATGTGGGGAGTTTTTAACTAGGTGTTCTCCAGTTTGCTTGTTAAATGAGACTCAATACTATTTCCACTAGAACTGAAGCCCTGCAGAACTCTCTGGTCAGGTGATGTGGTGTGGGCATGGGTTTCTGCTGGTCTTCTAGGGAAGGGGATCCCAAAGCTGGGACTGAGGCAGACTTGACCAAGAAAGGCAGTACTGCCAGAGTGCAGGGGTGTTGGACGTGATGGAAGCTGGTTAGGCAGGTAGTGTTGGCGCGTGCTGTTTACTTCAGGTGGTTCTGCGTTTATGGTGAGGGGCAGGGGAGTGAAATGGCACCAGCCACCTCCTTTGTTCCCAGACAGTGGTCTCCTTGCCTGCTGCTCTCAGTGAAGCACTCTGAGAAGATCGAATAATCTCCCCCCGTGTGTCCCAGGCATTTTGCAGATTGCTGTTTCCACACTGTCTCCCTCTGCGTTGTTTGCCTGCTTCCTTTCCAGGAGCAGCACAGTGCCCTCCAGGTCCTGTCCCAGCCATGGCTGGTGACTTTTTAGAACTCCAGATTTTAGGGAGGTGGCATGCCAGGGGCCTGTGCTGGTCTTCTGGGGGAGGGTCTCGCCATGCTGAGACTTAGGCAGGTTTGACCAAGAAGTGCAGTCTGCCAGAGCACAGGAGTGTGGGACTTGGTGTAATTAAATTAGGCAGCCAGTTTGGGGGGCTGAGCTGCTTTCTGTGACTGGCTCTGCTTTTATGCTGAGGGGTGGGGGAGGGAAATGTTGCCAGCCAAGTCCTTTGTCCCTGGAGAGGTGTCTCTGTGAAAGCTACCTCTCAGGGATGCGCTCCCAGAAGAGTGAGCAATCTTGTCCCTGTGTGCCCCAGGGGTTCTTCAGATAGCTGTTTCCATGCTTTCTGCCCCTGGAACTGCTTGCCTTCTCTCCAGGAGCAGGGCAGTGCCCTCTAGGCTCTATCCCAGCCAGCCTGCCAACCTTTAAAACTCCAGTATTAAGCCCCGCTGGTTGCAAGAACTCAGGAAAATCAGCCCCTCTCATTTTACCAGCCAATGGCCTTGGGGAAGTTTTCTCCTTGTGTATTCCCCTGTGTGCTCCTCTCTCTAGTGCCTTTCTCTGCCACCAGGGCTCCCTTCCCTCTGCAGGACCTGTGATCTGTTTCTCCCCCAAACCGTCTCTGTCCTCCTACTTCTTTGATGTGGCTCCTTCTCTCCCTTTAGTGGTAGAGTTTGTTCTGTCAGTTTTCAGGTTGATTTCTGGGGTATTCAGAATGATTTAATAGGTATTTAGTTGTGTTTGAGGGACAAGAAGAGCTTAGGGTTCTCCTCCTATACCGCCATCTTAGCTCCTCTAGCTTTAAGTGTTTATGAGGGAACTAAAGGACTTTAAAGGAGTTCAGTGTTCTCTGTTTTTTTTCTGATTACTTCTCTCACCCTTTTCCCTGAAAACTTCTTTCAGATTTCCCCATTGTCTATAAACTTCCTATTCTGTGTCCACAGCACAATTCCTTTTGTGTGGGCTAGAACTTTTGTGTGGGCTAGTTCTATGTTATATGGAACATAAAGTTCCATAAGGAACCTTATGTGGCAAGGTTCCTAAGGAGTGTAAATTAGGTAAACTTCTTTTCTTCTTGAGGCTTCCTCCTTCATTCTAGACTTGGTGGTTCACAGTAATTTATTGGCTCACCACCTGCACCCATCACCCATTCCTCTGTCAGGCTTCCAGGCCCCTAGATTGTATGTGCTCTGGGTCCTGTCTATTATGAACTAGAAGGACCTGTTGTGCCTACAGGGAGAGTGAAAGGTGGTCCAGACAATAAACTGTAGGGAAAGCTGGGGAAAATCATCCCATATGTTGCAGATACCGTGAGGAGGAAAGCTGGAGTAGAGACCATGGGCAGGGACTGTCATTACATATTCAGTGGTTTGGGAAGACTGATGCATAGAGTGTGGGAATGTAGGGTGGTCTACAAAAGAGCATTGTATTAATTACTTATTTATATGTCTCATTCATTAATTCTACAAAGCTTTGTGTTAGATACTGTCATTAAATATAAGACAGTTTCTCATTTCAAGGACATTAACTTGTGGAGAGTGAGAGTCAAAAGCATTTTTAACACACAGTAACCTATACATTCTAATAATATTAAATAAAATACTTACTAAATGCTACATATGGTGCCAAGAACTGTTCTAAGTGCTTTACATGGATTTTCTCATTTATACTCCTCACAAAACTATGATGTAGTGTTGTTGTCATTCCCATTTCACAGGTTAAAAACTGAGACATTGAGAGAAACCCTTTAATGCTAAGCAGAGATTATTTTAATGGTCACTAAAATTGATAAACATCTAAACAGACTGAAAAAGAAAAAGATGAAGACACAAATCACTAATAATGGAAATGAAGAATGGGACATCACTATACAGAATCATGATATTAAAAAGATAATAAGGGATTATTATTAACTTTATCTCAATATATTATACAACTTAGATGAAATAGGAAAAATTTTTGAAAGACATATACCATCAAAGCTTACTCAATAAATAATCTGAAAAGCCCTATAGCTAAAGATAATGAAATTAATGAACAGTAAGTTTCCCAGAAAGAAAACAAACCTGGATGCCTTTGCTGCTGATTTCTATCAAACATTTAAGGAAGAAATAAAATTCTACATGAATTTTTTCCAAGAATAATCCTCCTTAACTTGTTTTATGAAATCAGCACTAACCTAATACCAAAAATATTACCAATAAAAGTACTTATCAATATACCCCAAGATTATAGATACCAAAATCATTAACAAATATTAGTAAGTCCTATCCAGAAATATATAAAAAGGAAATTGCTTCATGACTAGATGGGGTTTATCCCAGAATTCCAAGGTTGGTTTAACATTAGATAAATAATATAATTCACCATATTAAGAAACTAAAGTGAAAACCATATGATTATCTCAATTGATACGTATTAAATATTTGACAATATCCAATACCCATTCATAACAAAAACTCTCAGCAAATTGGAAATATAAGAAAATGTTCTCAACCTAATAAAGGTTATCATGAAAAACCTTCAACTAATATCAAACCTAACATGGTGAAAACTTGAAGATCTTTCCACTAAAATTAGGATAAGGCAGAAATATCCTTTCTATCCTCTTTTGTATTCTAGGTCCTACCAATATAATGAGCAATAAAAGGAAGTAAAATGCATAAATATTAGAAAGACAAATATAAATCATGTAACATGACATTATTATCTATATAGAGATTCCCATGGAATCTACAAAAAAAAAAATGAGACATTAAGAAGTTAGGTAGCCTACCTAAATTCACATATTGTTTTAGTGGAACAAGGTGTAGTGAGAGCACATAAAGAGGGCAACTTATCTGATGGATTTACGCGTTCAAAGAAGGCTTTTTGGAGGAAATTAAATCTAAAGTGGAATCTAAAGGGTGAATAAAGAGGAAATACCAAGCAAATGGAGGTGAGAGTGTTTAAGTTAGAGTGATGATCATGTGTTCTTCAGAGAGAACTGAAAAATAAGCAGCCTGAATGTTGGCAGTTTGGATAGATCAGTGTTTCGCAGGAAGCGGTTGGTGGCCTGAAAGCTTGGAATTATTTTTTGAGGGTTTGGGATTTTATGCAGAAAGCATAGGGACATTCTTCATCAGGAAGTGACAAGGGGATGATGTGATTAAATCAGTAAAATCAGACAGTGGTTAGCCAAGTAGAGGGTTACTTGTTTGATAGGAGATTTATAGAACTTGACTGATGTTTGGGTTTTGAGGAGGTGGGTTTTAATCGGCATAAAAGGAGGTGGCTGGATGGATGCTGGAGCCATCAATAGAAAGAATTCAGAAAGAGAAAACGTAGAGAAAAATTCAATGTATGTTACTCTAATGTTTCTTTGCAGGAACTACTCCCTCTTCTATGGCAGCTAGAGCCCAATTCCAGAAAATTTTTTGAGTCTTACTTATTAGACAATTCTGTGTGGCTAAGCTATCCTCTGAAATATGTGTTTAAGTTTCAGAAGCTGACTGATAGGCCCATGGCCCGATATGGAATCTTCTGGGATGAAATAACTAAAAATGATAAAATTTCAGGTCCTCTTGGTGGCTTCTGTGATAGGTAAGAAACAGCCTGATGAGAACAACTTTCTCTACTTCTATGAGTTTGTTGATTTTTTTTGTAATGTTTATTTTCAATTTAAGTGATTTCCACTCTTAAATTTTCATTCTACTAATTTGTTCTTTTTTCCACCTTCTTATGGTAGTAGCCTAGTTCTTTGATTTTAAACATTTTTCCCTTTCTAGTATAGGCATGATAGCTATAATTTTTCCTCTAAGAACAATTATAGTGGCATCAAATTCTGATATGTTGTGTTTTCATTATCATTCAGTGTGAAATATTTTATTTCCCTTGGCATTTCTTCCTTGACCCTTTGTTATTTCAATGTATTTTACTAAATTTCTAAATATTTGGGAATTATCTCATTGCTATCGATTTCTTATTTAATTCCATTATTATCTAAAAACAAACATTATATGCCTTAAATCCTTTTAAATATATATTAAGTATATCCTATGCCTGGCATATGGTCAGTATTGGTGAATGGTCAATATGCACTTGAAAATAACTATAATCTGCCTTGTGTAGTGGAGTACTCTATAAATGTTAGTTAGGTCAACTTGCTTGATAATGTTTCTTAAATATTCTGTATCCATATCTTGCTCTCAAAAGTACAGGTTCAGCTAATACAGATTAGATTAATCCAGCCCCTCATACTGTGTCTTGACAGAAGAAGAGCCATGCCTTTTTGTGAAAATTTTTTTTTATTTCTATCTCTACTTATATTTTACATAAATACCTAACATACCTTTTTAAAATACTGGATATATGAAGAATCAAACAAATGTGGCTTATGATCAAAAAAGTAAACAGTCATTATACCTATATAAGAGATGGCCCCAATTACGGAATTATAAGACCAATTTGAAAATACTGTTTTAATAAATATGTTATAGGATCCAGTGAAAAAGGTATTTAGAAAACAACACAGAGACACATTATCGTCAAATTCCTGAAAAATAAAGTCTAAATAGCAGCCAGAGGGAAAAATACCTTATATGTAGGGGAACAATGATAAGTTTACACTGATTTTGCAGCAGAATCCATGGAGCATGGAACACAATGGACTTATATATTTAAATTGTTGATAGCAAAATCTTGTCAACTTAGAATTCCATGTGAACCAAAAAAAAAAAAATACTTCAAAAATAGGCAAAGTAAAAATATTTTCAGATATAAAAATTGAGAGATATTTGTGTCTCCAGCAAGCCTGGCTAAAATAAATGCTCAAAGAAATCTTGTAAGATAAAGGGAAATATTACTAGATGGAAGTCTTTATCTGCAGGAACTTAAAAGAACACCACAAATAGTAAATATATGAGTAAATATATAAGAAGACTTGAGGTATCTTTATTTCAGGTATAAATCTGTATCTATTTTAAAATATTTTAAATACTAAAGACATTTTAAAGCAAAGATGAAATCACTACATTATAGGGATTAATAATGTGTGTGGAAGGAAAATATCTGACAAGTGTGCAAAAGATGTGAGGCATTGATTTCCTTTGTTGGATATTGTGTTTTATTTTTGTTTTTTTAAAAGATTTTATTTATTTATTTGACAGAGAGAGACGCAGCGAGAGAGAGAGAACACAAGCAGGGGGAGTGGGAGAGGAAGAAGCAGGCTTCCCACTGAGCAGGGAGCCCGATGTGGGGCTTGATCCCAGGACCCTGGGATCATGACCTGAGCCGAAGGCAGACGCTTAACGACTGAGCCACCCAGGCACCCCCTGGATATTGTGTTTTAGTCTATGAATATCTGTCAGCTGTAGTCCAAACAGGCTTGAATCAAATCTCTCCCAAGGCAACAGAAGCAAAGCCTATGAAATGGGATTACAAATTTAAGCCTCCTGAAGTTTCCATGGAAATGCCTAGTCCTTGTCTTTCCTCAAGATCACATCGAGGCAGTGGTATGTTAGCAAACTGGCACTCCAGGGAAAAAAAAGTTCTTAACATGTAGTGTTTGCTGATTTTTATGGTGTGAATACTCTCACTATGACCAATTTCAAGCTACTAATAATTTAACAACCTGCTCATAAAATTCCTGATTATCCATTGGCTGTCATGCACAGAACTAGGTATCTTCAATCCCACTGAGTCCACATCTCTACACTTCCTTGATAGGGCCTCTTCTCACTCTCTTGTTGTGGAGTTTGTTCTATCAGTCCTCAGGTTGATTTCTTGGGTATTCAGAATGATTTGAAAGTTATCTTGTTGTGTTTGAGAGATGATATGAGCCTAGGGTTCTCCTACTATGCTGCCATCTTAGTTTCCCCACTGTTTACCAATTTTTAAATGCATTTCTACTGTGTATGAATTTTCTTGGTGTCCTTCTTCTGAAAATGTCTTTACTTCCCCTTCACTCTTAAAGGATATTTTCACTGTATATAGGATTCTGGATTCAAAGTTCTTTTCTTTCAGCAGTTGAAAAATGTAAGCCACTTCCATCTGGCCTCTATGGTTTATGATTAGAAATGCACAGTCATTTGAATCATTATTCACCTAAGGTAAAACATTTTTTTCTAACCATTCCAAGATTTCTTTTTTGTCTTTAGTTTTTAACAGTTTGATTATGACATGTCTGGAAATGTGTTTCTTTGGGTTTACCTCTTTAGGGTTCACTGATCTTGAATCTGCAGGCTTATGCCTTTTGACAAACTTTAAAACTTTAGAGCCTTTATTTTTTAATTTTTCAGCCATGCTCTCTCCTCTCTTTTTAAGACTCCAATGATAGGTATGTTAGATCTTTTGTCATTGTCACACAGGTCCCTGAGGCATTCAGGGACTGTTTATGCTGTTTTTCAAATTGGATCATTTCTATTGATTTATCTTATCAAACTTATCAAAGTTTGCTGACTTTGTTTCTCTTTTATCTCAATTATACTATTCAGTCCTTCCAGGGAGTTTTTAATTAGATTATTGTAATTTTTCCATTCTAGCATTTTTATTTGGGTTTTCATTACCACTTCTATCTATTTACTGATACTTTCTACATTAAACTTTGTTTCAAGTATGTTCATAATTGCTCAATCAAATGCTTTTTATGACAGTTCTTTAAGTGTTTATCATATATTTCCAGCGTCTGTGTCATCCCTTTGTTGTTAGCTGTTTGTCTTTTCCCATGAAAGTTAAGGTATCTGTGGTTCTGTGTATGTCAAAGTAATTGGGGTTTTACTCTGAACAGTTTGAGTGTTATGTCATGAGACTTTGGATCTGGTTAAATTTTATAAACAATATTAATATTTTTGTTTTAGCAGGCACTCAGTTTGGTTAGGTCAAGCTGCAAGTTTCAACCTGCCCTCTGTGGGCTGTAGTTCCACTATCAGTTCAGTTTTCTAAACCTTTGCAGTGCTATTTGGATTTGTTTCACACGTGTACTACCTAGTAGTTATTCTGGGACCTGGACAGTGGTCTATCAGGTAGCAAAATTCTCAAAGTCTTTGGTAGGCTAATTATGATCAAATCTAAGCATTTGAAAGTTGGAGGTGATCTGAAAAGTTCATAAACAGCTTTATGGAGACACTTCCCAAGAATAAGTTCTTTGCCATCTTCCTAGTACTTTTTGGTTTCCTGGGGCTCTCCTTTTCTGTCCTCCAGATAGAAATTACCCACTTCTGTGACTATGTCACTTCACCCCAGAAGTGACATAGAACAGAGAGAGAGTTAAAACAAAAAAGAGGGTCACCTGGGTAGCTCAATCCGTTGAACATCCAACTCTTGATTTCGGCTCAGGTAATGATCTCAGGGTCGTGAGATCGAGCCCTGCTTCAGAAAGAGGTGTTTCTCCCTGCACTTTTGGAGTTGTAGCTTGCGACCCCTTCTGCTGTAGGATTGCCCTGGGGGCTGAGGCTCAAGAGCACCAAAAAACTGCTAGAACTGATACACAAATTCAGTAAATTTACAGTGTATAAAATCAACACACAAAAATCTGATGCATTTCTATACACCAATAATGAAGCAACAGAAAGAGAAATTAAGAAAGCAATCCCATTTATAATTGCATCAAAAATAATAAAATACCCAGAAATAAACTTAACCAAGGAAATGAAAGACTTGTATTCCAAAAAGTATAAAACATTGATGAAAGAAATTGAAGATAACACAAATATTGTTAAAATGTCCATACTACCCAAAGCAATCCACAGATTTAATGCAATCCCTATCAAAATACCAATGGCATTTTTCACAGAACTAGAACAAACAATCCTCAAATTCACATGGAACCACAAAAGACCCTGAATGGCCAGAGCAATTCTGAAAAAGCAAAGCAAAGCTGGAGGCATCACAATTCCAGACCTCAAGTTATATTACAGAGCTGTACTAATCAAAACAGTATGGTAATGACACAAAAATAGACACACAGATCAGTGGAACAGAATAAAAAATCCAGAAGCAAGCCCACAACTATATGGTCAATTAATCTTTGACAAAGCAGGAAAGAATATCCATTGGATAAAAGACAGTCTCTTCAACAAATGATGTTGGCAAAACTGGACAGCGACATGCAAAAGAATGAAACTGGACCATTTTCTTACACCATACACAAAAACACCTGTGTTTTTTGCTTCAGTTTGACATGATTATATGATCTTCTTTAGCCTGTTAATATGCTGAATTACATTTACTGATTTTTGAATGTTGAACCAGTCTTGCACACATAGAATAAATGTCACTTGATCATGGAGTATAATTATTTTAATAGATTGTTTTATTTGACTTCCTACATTTTATTGAGGATTTTTGCATATATGTTTCAGAGAGAAGTTGTTTTACAGTTTCCCTTTATTGTAATGTCTTTAATTTTCATATCTGAGGAGTTAATACTGGTATCATAGAATGAATTAGGAAGTGTTTCATCTGCTTCTACTGTCTGGAAGTTATTATGAATTTTTAGTATTATTATTATTCCTTAAATTACTGAGAAATGTTACCAGGAAAATCATCTGGGCCCAGTGCTTTGTTTTGGGAAGGTGATTAATTATTGATTAACTTATTCAGATGATCTGTTTCTCCTTGTGTGATATTTTGTAGTTTGTATTTTTAAAGGAGTTAATTCATTTCATTGAAGTTATAAAATGCATGGGGGGCGCCTGGGTGGCTCAGTTGTTAAGCGTCTGCCTTCAGCTCAGGTCATGATCCCAGGGTCCTGGGATCAAGTCCCGCATCAGGCTCCCTGCTCGGTGGGAAGCCTGCTTCTCCCTCTCCCACTCCCCCTGCTTGTATTCCCTCTCTCGCTGTGTCTCTCTCTGTCAAATAAATAAATAAAAATCATAAAATGCATGGGCATGAATTTGTTCATGCTCTTCTTGTATGATCCTTTGAATTTCCATGAGAATCAGTAGTACTCCCCTCTCTTTCACATCTCATATTGGTAATATTTTGTGTCTTCTCTCTTTTTTTTATTCATAGTATGGCTAGACATATTGGCTTTTTCAAAGACCTAGCTTTTGGCTTTGTTAATTTTCTTTGTTTTATGTTTTCACTTTCATTGATTTCTGTCTTAATTTTTATTACTTCTTTTCCTGCTTGCTTTAGGATTACATTGCTTTTTTTCTCCTTTTTTCTAAGGGGGAAATTTAGGTGATTGATTTTAGATATTTCTTGTCTTCTAATATATATATACATTTATGCTATAAATATCTCTCTAAGTGCTGGTTTTGCTGTATCCCACAAATTTTGAAAAACTATTTTGATTTACATTTTTCTTGAGACTTCTTCACTGATCCATGTATTATTTAGAAGTATGGTGTTATTTCCAAATACTGGGGAGGACTTTTTTTCAGGAGTAGAATTTAGTGATTCATCACTTAAATATAACACCCAGTACTCATCACAACAAGTACCACTGGGGAGGATTTTCTAGCTATCTTTCTGTTACTGATTTACAGTTTAATTCCGTTATGGCCTGAGAACATTATATGGTTTCTATTCTTTATATTTGTTAAGAGATGGGGGGGGGGTTGGCCCAGAATGAGGTCTATTTTAGTAAATGTTCCATATGAACTTAAGAAGAAATGCATCTTGTTCTTTGGGAAAGAGCATTCTACAAATGTAATTAGATGAAGTTGGGTGATCATGCTGTTTAGGTCAACTGCCTTATTGACTTTCTGTCTGCTTGATTTATCTATTACTGACAGGGGTATGGAAGTCTCTAACTACAATAGAACTTGCAGTTCTATCAGTTTCAGACTCAGGTAATTTAATATTCTAAGTGCATACACAAAAAAGATTGTTTTATCTTCTTGGAGAAATATCCCTGATAATTTTTCTTGTCTGAAATATGTTTAGTCTGAAATTAATATGGCCATTCCAGCTTTGTTTTGATTAGTGTTAGCATAATAGGTCTTTCTGTTAGTAGACTCAGGTCCTTGGACCCAGCAAAAGTAGAAACAAAGCTGGACCCAAAATGTACCAACACAGGCAAGGCTTTATTGGGGTAACAGCTCGAGCTGAAGGGAGACACAGGCACAGCTGGAAAGTGGGCCTGGCTCTCCGAACAATGGCCAGGGAAAGTTTTAAAGGGGCTGAGGTGGGAAATGAGTGATATTTAAGTACATAGGGGAGGGGAAATATAGGAAGTTGGTGGCACAGGCACAGTTGAGGGAACATGCTTCTTCATAATCGTGTATTTCGTTTGCCTGTTAAATCTCCACCCCTGAGTGTGATTTTTAATATTGTAATGAGGGGGAAAGTTGGTGAAAGTTAAGCACTGGGGTCCTTCTTGAGGCTGACCCATTTTGTCCAGTCTTTGCCAGTCTTTGTAGTAAGCATGCTCCTTTCAGTAAGCATCCTTCTTCCACATTCCTGCAAAATATTGTCACTTGGGAGGCATAGAATTTTAGTCTTCCTTCCTTCCTTCCTTCCTTTTTCTTTCTTTCTTTCTTTCTTTCTTTCTTTCTTTCTTTCTTTCTTTCTTTCTTTCTTTCTTTCTTTCTTTCTTTCTTTTTTTCTTTTCTTTTCTTTTCTTTTCTTTTCTTTTCTTTTCTTTTCTTTTCTTTTCTTTTCTTTTCTTTTCTTTTCTTTCTTTCTTTCTTTCTTTCTTTCTTTCTTTCTTTCTTTCTTTCTTTCTTTCTTTCTTTCTTTCTTTCTTTTCTTTTTTTCTTTCTTTTCTTTCTTTCGTAACCAAAGAATGCTGGATTTTATGGTCAAGGTGGAGGGGACCTGAGTCCAGTCCCTGCTCTGTCTCATCTCCATTTTTTACTTTTAAACTTTCTAGGTCTTTTTAATTAAATTGGACTTTGTAGACTACATATAGTTTGGACTTTTTTATCCACTTTGACAACCTCTTTCAAGTAGTGTATTTAAACTATTCATAGTTATGTGTTATTGATATAGTTGGAGTAATATATTTGTAACTTTGTACATTACATCTACTCTTTTTCTGACTTCTCTAGTTTTAACAAGGCATTTTATTTAATTCCATTTTATTACCTCTTGGCATACCACTAATGCATTTTTTAAAAAATTAGTCCTCATCCTAGAGTTTATGATATACATATTAAAATAATGAAAATCACCATTAAATAATAATATATATTTCATGTGTAGTGCAGGAATATGATGGCAGAATCCCTCCCTCCAGTTACTTGTAACATTGTTGTCATGCATTTTACTTATCTCTCTGTTATAACCACTAATACAGTGCTACTATTATTGCTTCAAACACATGGTTATTGTTTCTATCAAGTATGAAAAAGAAAAATAAAATCTATTCATGACTTTTTAATTCCTTTTCAGGCACTCTTCCTGTCTTTATATGGATTCAAGTTTCCGACCAGTACCATTTTTCTTCTGAAGATTTTCTTTTCATGCTTATTCCAGAACATGTCTGCTGATAATGGATTTCCTCATTTTTGTTTGTCTGAAAAGCTTTCATTTTTACCCACTTCTGAAGGTTAATTTTCCTAGACCTAGAATTCTAGGGGTTTTTTCCCTTTTAAAATGTTAAATTTTTTACTCTGCTCTTCTCTTGTTTGTATGTTTACTGACAGTTTTTCCATTGTAATTCTCATCCTTTTTATCTTACATGGAAGGTGATTTTTTTTCCCTCTAGCTTCTTTTAAGATTTTTCTCTTTGCCTTGAGTTTTCCGTAATTAAAATATGATATGCATAGGTGTTTATTTTTCCCACTTACTCGTCTGAGTCTCTGGTTTGCTTTTTATCATTGATTTTGGATAATATACTGCCATTATTCAAATATTTCTTCTGCTCTGTTCTTTCTTCTTATGGTATTCAAATTATGCATATATTATGACTTTTGATATTATCCTGCAATACATTCTGCTCTCTTGTTTGTTTTTTTCTTTCATTGCTTTTTTTTCTCTTTGCCTTTTAGTTTGGGAAGTTTCTATTGACTTCAAGCTCACTGATTCTTTTCTTGGCTGTGTCTAGTCTACAGATGATCCCATCAAAAGTACTCTTAATTTCTCCTAAAGTATCTATTTTTTTATTTTAATTTTATTTTTTTAAGATTTTATTTATTTATTTGAGAGAGAGCGAGCGCACAGAGGGAGAGGGAGAAGCAGATTCCCCGCTGAGCAGGGAGCCCAATGCGGGACTCAATCCCAGGACCCTGGGATCATGACCTGAGCCAAAGGTGGACGCTTAACTGACTGAGCCACCCAGGCACCCTGTTAATTTTACTTTTTTAGAGAAAGAGAGAGCATACTTGCATGAGTGGGGGGGCAGAGGGAGAGAGAATCTTAAGCAGGCTCCACGCCCAGCATGAAGCTTGATGTGTGGCTTGACCCACGACCCTGAGATCATCACTTGAGCTGAAATCAAGAGTTGGACACCTAACTGACTGAGCCATCCAGGCGCCCCTTAAAGTGTCTATTTTTAAAGTTTCTAGAATTGCTTTTGATTTGTATTAGAGTTCTGTCTCTCTGCTTACATTACCCATAAGTTCTTTTATGTCATCTATTTTTTGCATGAGCGCCCTTAAGACATTAATCAGTTACTTTATTTCTGCAGGTAGGCCTGCATTGCTATATATATCCCTCTTAGAATTGCTTTCATTGTGTCCTAAAGACTTGACCATTGGCTTTTTATTTCCATTTGTCTCCATGTATTTCTTTTACTTCTTCTTTGATTTCTTCATTGACACATTGGTTGTTCAGTATCATGTTGTTTGTGGGTTTTTTACATTTTTTTCCTTGTGATTGATTTCTAGTTTCATACCACTGTGGTTGCAAAAGATGCATGGTATGATTTCAGTCTTCTTAAATTTATTGAAGCTTGTTTTGTAGCCTTACATGGGATCTATTTCTGGAGAATATTCCATGTGCACTTGAAAAGAATGTGTATTCTGTTGTTTTGGGATAGATGGTTCTATATCTGTTATGTCCATCTGGTCTATGGTGTCATTCAAAGCCATTGTTTCCATATTGATTTTCTGCCTGGATGATCCATTCATTGTTGTAAGGGGGTTGTTAAAGTCCCCTACTACCATTGTATTATCATCAATTTCTCTTTTTGACCATTAATATCTGCTTTATGTATTTAGGTGCCCCAGTGGGTGTGTAGATATTTACAGCTGTTATATCCTCTTGTTGGGTTGATCCCTTTATCATTATGTAATGCCCTTTTTTTGTTTCATGTTACAGTGTTTGTTTTAAAGTCAATTTTGTCTGATATAAGTGTTGC